CATCGGGCTCCCTGCTCCTTGGGAGCCTGCTTCTCCCTCTGCCTCTCTCTCTCTGTCTCTCATGAATAAATAAATAAAATCTTTAAAAAAAAAATAAGGCCCCAATCACTCTGTTGTAATCATGTATGAAGGTTCTTTAAAAATGAGTTTCTCAAAAAAAAAAAAAGCTTCTATAATGTTTGTACTACAGAATTACATTTTTTAGATGAGAAAGGTAGAGTTCAGAGAAAATACTTGTCTCTACAGAATTTTATGATTAGTTGGAAGGGGCATGAAGGCCAGAAACCAGATGCCTCAAATAATGTGCCATCCTGAACACTTTTCTGTTCCTTCCTATAGTTCTGGGACAATAAGGTTTCCAAGTGAAGTCTTAAAATGGTTTACTTCTCTTCTGGAAACTGCCCAGTTATCTGACATAGCTAGAAGTTATTTTAGGGGTCTTTCAAACTTGAGGTCATGAAATCACATGCACAAAATCAACTCACTGGGGTGGCCAGTATTTTTAAAAAACAGTATAAAACACAATGCACAGTTTCAAATATATATGTCTTTGTGTACATTCTGTGTTCCCACAGAAAATGTATTGGAAATTGTGTCCAAAAAAAAAATTGAAAGATACGCTTTTAAGGGGAACTTCTCCAGATGAGACTCTTAACTCTAATGACTCAATTACTGCACCCACTTCAACTGAGCACTGCACGGGATCAGTCAGGTCAGAGTGTCACAAAGTATTTGAGGGGCATCACCAACACTGGACAGAAGGCTGTCCCCACCACAGGAGTGCAGCTGGTACAATGTAGCAGGCATTCATCCTGACAACTTACTTTACAAATATTTTTCATACGAATAACTTCTACCTACCCAGCAGTAACTGACAGGAAACAAAAGGCACATTTCTCAGTCTCTGCATTGCCTGGAGGAACTGTCAGCACCCTACTTCCGTTGTCAAATGTGATAGTGCTAGAAAAAGAATCTTGATAAAGACTTCTCCATGCAGTCAATCTTTATTATAGCAGTATTCGCATATTCACATCAAGTACATAGAACTTTTTGCCTTTTATATAATACAGAGTTTTTAAATAACTTTACACAGAAATAAATCTCTTCAATCTGAATTTCAGCTATTTTTTTTTTTAAATTCTCCATGCTTTCTATCCAAACTGAACAATATTTTCCATTGTACAAATTTACATGAGAAAAACTCCAAAGTACAAATGAAGGGACCTGAGCAGGAAAGAACCAAAGTATCAAGAAGTGGGTATGGGGAAGAATTTAAAAAAAAAAAAAAATTCAAGCAAACATTGAGGATTAAGGGACAACAGGGAGACATCATCCATTTGACTGAAAATAAATGTCTTTTTTTATGAATTGAAAAATAAGCTTTAAAAATAGTTACTCCATTGTAATTTTTGCAAAGCAGGTATAAAGAGGTCTGTGGACAATTTAAAAGTCCCCATTTTTTTTCTCTGGGCACACCCCAGACTCCATGAGAACCTTTTCAATGCTTGAGTGGAACTGAAGTGAACTAAACCCAAACCTTTGGCAGCAAGAGAGAGAGGAATGTGTATGTGAATCGCCTTTAGGTTTGGAGTGGGAAACCAGGAGCCATTAATTCACTGCGGTTAAAACACGAAGGATTTCCCTTTCCTCTCCCTTATAAAAGAATTGTCCTCAAACCAAGAAGTAAAATGAAAAGGGGGGTGTTTTCCTTTTTCTTGGTTTAAACTAAAGAGCAATCCTAAATACTGACCTAGGATTCAAAGGGGACATATGTTGAGGAACGGTCAAATTCAATCCCCTGATCAGCTGTGCGCTCCTAAGAAGGCAACCGCTGAGTGAGGAAAGGGTCAGAGGGTACAGCCAACAAATGAGATCACCACAAAAACATACCACTGTGATAGAGTCCTTTAAATCAGGCAATACCATGAAGGCCAAATGAAGACCACAACCTGTAGCATGGCCAAAGGAAGAACAGAGGACCCAATGAATGCGTTTCCAAATGAAGGAGGGCAAGGGTAGAGCATACACCCAGACACACACAGACACGCACGCACGCAAGCACACTCCTGTATGTAAACTAATATGACACGAAGATAAATAAGACATAAAGGTTAGCCACTTATGTTGGTAATTAACATGAATAAAAAGGCATTATATGTTTACATAGCTGGTTTTAATCAGCTATGGAACATATACAAATGTATTAGGAAGGAATGTTTTTTTGAAAAAACTGTTCACAGCTTAGAAGAAAAAGCACACTTATTGCACTCTTACATTTTATTTCAGGTAATTATAGTTTATTTCCCACGGTCCCATCACTTTTTCCCTAGCCCCAGACTTACTCCCACACCCTCCCACCTCCCATTTTGGTCCACTTTCTCTACATTTGTGCCTACTCTCTGAGCTCTGTTGCTTATGCTATCTGAAGTTTCTTCCACTGAGATACATGTGGGTTTAACACACAAATGCAACACAGAATAATTTTCAACACAAAACTGCTACTAAGCGACTTATAACCCCCCATCCCCACCCCTGTAAACGGAGCCCTTCCCCTGCTGCATCTCTTCAGCCGACTTCCTGCCCAATTCCCTACAGACCGTGACGGGAGCGAGCTGCTCAGGAGTGCGGGACAAGGTGCTCAGCCTGCCTGAGAGTGGCAGATGGCTCGCACAAATCTTTTGTTTGATACTAACACGAATAAACAGATTTCAGTTGTTTGCCAAGAGTACTTCAATCTACAGAATTCTTAAAAAACAAACTCATCACACACACGGACACACACACACACGCACACACCAGATACACTGGCTATGTCCTCATGCACAACTGGTTATAGCACTGTAATTAGTCAAAACAGAATTACGTTAAATAAAATTATATATTTTAATAAAATTAAACATTTTAATAAAACTAATTTAGTAATTAATAAAACTAACAGTTGGGTAGAGGGGGGTCAAAGGGTAAAAAAAAACAGGATTAAAAAATTAACAGCTTGAGTTGTGGATGTTGAAATAAAAGATTTAATCACTCTGACAAACCATCCCTATGCATGTTAAAGCACTGTTCCCTTACTTTAAGATTTTAAGACTTAACGATTCTGTCCTCCTCTACCTTAAAAATCCTGATAGAAACCATTAATTACCTTTTCCACCAATGGCAAAATTTAGGACTAAATTCCAATTTCAATGTCTTTGCCCAACCAGAAGTAAAAATAAGTTCTCTGAAAACAACAAAACTTACTCTCGAGTGTGCTGATAAAACAAAAATCTTACCAGTATTTTCAATTTTACCATAGCTAGCAATACACTGGCCACTTCATTCTCCTCTGGCCAATATAAAACTCAGGCAGAGATGCGACTGCACTCCTTGGTGCTCAACAACCTATGGGCATCAGCAAGACAACTCCGAAAAACATCTAGAGAGCTTGCTGAAGACAGTATGCCGCCTTTCCTCAGGGTGGCAAGAAATGCAACAAGACAGAAAAAGCACACCATGGAGTGTGTCCAGTTCACAGCCACCGGCCACGTCATTAACTATTCCAATGCCCCCTCATAAAGGGGACCCCAGAGACCCCATCTGGTCCCCAGAGCACCCTGAACAGCATTAGCAGGACAGTCCCACTGAATTTGCAAACACATCCTGGGAGGCAAGTTTACATTTTAGACTCTGGAAAATCACTGTTTAGGTTTGTAGCAGTACTCTGGAAACTGACAAAATCAAATTCTGTCCTCTACATTAGCTTCCTCCTTCTCATTCTTGACAAGTGTTTGCTGCCCAGCACATAGTACTTCTGACCCCCAAACTACAGCAATTCCTTAAAATGTCTGTCAAACATTTCTGTTATATAAAAAAGTTCCATGCTTTGAAGAACCTATTGGAGTAGAAAAAGATTCTCTAGAAATGTCACTGAACTATAATTTTCAACCTAGTTGCTCTATGTGATAAATATATCTGACTCTACTAGGGATTATGTGCTTTAAAAAAATAATTTTGTTCACTGAAAATTTAACCTGTGTGTGTTCTCTTTTTAAATGTGATTTTGGCTATAAACCCTTTAGTGCATTTGTCTTTGCAGTCTAAATTGCACTCTAAAAAATATTAACACAGCTGAGTTGGACCAGAGTGGCTTCTCTCTTTGCAAATCACTGATTTCTGCTAAAATTTAAGCTTTTTTTTTTATTGCATCGTGAAGGCACAGTAAAGATCATTTGGCAAATTGTCAAGGTATTTTTCTAGAGCCTCACCTACACCATGTCAATGTACGACCTGTAAACTATTTACTGTTTATACTCACAGTAAACTTTCCGTGTCTGGTTACTTTTTTTTTTTTTTTTAATAGCCTAATGGTTGGAATCTGCTAGTCCCAAGGTGCTGATTTTCTAGCGCTAACAATGCCAACTTGGACAAAGAAGAGAATCGTGTGGAATCATTCTACCCTCCTAGCTGGGCAGTCTCTTGATCGGAGGATCTGTGCATGTGATGGAGCTGTGGTTAACTCATCAGGAAGACGTATGGTCTTGCTAAGCCTATTGAAAGTTAAAACTGTATCACTGTTAGTGAACTGTTACCATAACTGCTTAATTTCATGCAACTGCCTTAAGGTGGAGATTCTGAAACGTACCCTGAAACAGATGCTGGCACCACTTGCAACAACATTTAGAAACCTGGAGCTACATTTTTCAGAAAAGTCCTACTGCTGAAATGCATAATGCCCTTTAGGACAAAATGAGAGTGCTCAAATACAAGTACACGTCAAAGTTAAAATCTTAAGTCATCTTCATGTTCTAGAGCTCCGGACTTTTCATATCTTAAAATAAATAACTATTCATTACCTCGTTCTGAGGAGGTAGTTTTTCGAAGGGGTCACCTGAACCCTGCAATGTGCTTCCAACTAAAGCCGGCTGGGGTCGGCACAAGGCTGGGGAGCGGGCGCACAGGGGGGCAGGTGAGGTCCTGGGAGCGTGGGCAGCAGTTCGAGCACCGGCTGCTGACTGCAGGAGAACACCACGTGCTGAGCGAGCTGGGACCGCACCAAAGGAGAACCTAGCAAGTATTTACAGAGTTTCCAGCGGACAGTGCTGAAGTCTTGATTACCTCTTTGTAACTACGTAATGCTCTTTCTCTTCCAATACCAACATAAATATAACATGTACGTGTTACACGGCATTTTATCTTCTAGGATGCCCCAGTATATCCTACAAGATCATAAGTGCAATCAGGGACTGGATGTTCAGGAACCAGAATTTGACAGCTAGACAGAATCTTCTTTTAAGGTGCATATAAGTACAAATGATCACGTTGGATTTTCTACTCACAAATCCCTTTTATAAACTACTTTTGGTCAATGTCATTTCAGTGGCAAAAGTACTAGACCCTAAACTCTAGTTTGATGACAAAAAGTCCCATCAGGAATACTACATATTTTGAAACAATCTTTTATGTCTGCTCTCAGATTTTTCAGAAGGCTTCGCCTCTTCTTACCCAAGATAAAATACGCTATAGAAGGCACTGCAGCCACTTTAAGGAAAAGACAGGTAACTACAACCTGACAGGCTAGTCCGCGAAGCAGCCACACACTGTCTATACAAATTATTCATAAAGTGCTTTGCACAAACAAGGACTTCTTCCTTGTATCTTCTTAGGAGCTCAACAAGTCTATCTGTAGTCTAAACATCAAAACATAAGAGGAAACCCCTTTACCATGTCATTTGTAAACTAGAGAAAAAACTATTTGATGGAAAAAAGGGATGAGAAATACTAGAATTTTATTTTTTAAGGGCTCTATAAAAATCTCTCAAGAATACCCTGAGCCTGGCTTCTGACTGGGCACAGCTTCACCTGAGACCAAGTCTGCTCCCCCTTTTCAAGTGAGACAGCAACCTATTCTAAAGAGGATGGAAGAAGAGAAGTGCCGGCCTTCCAGCGCTAAGCTTCCTCCATCACTAGGGCCCGTGCTTGCGGGGCTCCTGGCCCCCGGGGCTGTCCTGCAGCCGAGCTGCCAACCCAACGGCAGGCTCCAACGGCTCCACAGGACATGCCTCTTGTTCAAACCGACCTCTCTCCGATCTTGGTGAAGGGAAAGCAACCAGTTTTAAAAGCATGTCTGGGGACACATTTAAAAAGAAAAATACGCACAAGACGCTCTTCAAATCAGCACCAATCTTCGCAATTTCTGACTTTTGTAAGAAACTGCCCTGCTCACGTGGGACTTAAGAATACACTGCTTTTCAAACTCATTAATAACTTCAGGATATTTTCCATTTTACTAGGACAACCTTTCACAGGTCTGTACCTCTCATGTAGGCCTTCCTCTGAATACAGGTATTTTAGTAAAAAGTATGGAATGGCAGTGAGCTTAATAGGCTGGAAGATAGTGGGATCAGTTACAATTTGAAATTTTTAAATAACAACTTCTAATTCCCTGATTTTATGGGTCCTGTCTAATTTCTTTAAGGTCCTTGGCTACAAAGCTTGGTTGGGCTAAGTACATTTGATTTGATTTACATTCCTAAATCCTGGCAAGAGATTCTAAGACTCATGATAAGGGAGATATTTGTCATTAATACATCCAGAGTCACTTTTTTTATTACTACTGCAATTTATGCCACCCTTTAGTAAAGGCCAAAGGAAGCTACGACTGGGTTCTATTTTCCACTTACGCAAAGATAAAGAATGATGTTTCCAATACCACAGCATCTCTTTCTACAGAAACAACTGATGTTAGGCTTCACACACCCTCCCTCTGTCCCAATACACCTAAAATTGCTCTATTCTCTACTTGGGGAACTCAGCTGCCAAATTACCCAACCTTTTGAAGACCAGGCTTGGGAAAAAAGGAAGGAGGAGAATGAATGGAGACACCACCATTTTTATTTTAGGTTGCATATTCTAGATAAAAGACTGGAAAGAGGATGGAGGATGTAGTGTAGGAGTAAGTTGGAGGAAAACATGAGATATTAGTAAAGATGTTAGTGTGGATCCAGCAAGTACCATTAATTTAAAAATTATAAATATCTGTCATTATGCTAAGACTCCCCATATTTAGGTAGAGAAAAGGATAATTACCTTTCTTTAAAAGTTGTTTATATAACAAAAATACAATTTTCCAGGATATATAATTCTGGTGGGAAGTATTATTTTATTCCAATTCAATTAAATCTGAAAATTATTTTCTTTTTAATAAAAATATAATAGAAGAAACTCAGAAATTAAAACTTGTACCTTACATTTAAATTACATAAATGTCTCACACATTCAAAACTGGTATCAAGCAGTTTTGTAGGCTTTTAATTAGATACTGCCATGGCATTTTGTGCCCTGGACAAAGTAGCGATATAAGTACTTGATGACTGGAAGAGCTTAGGAGGAAGATATCAAGTGTATTTTCCTGAGAACTTGCTACATTGTGGAGGGAAAAAAAAAAATCCCCAACACTTGTCTTCATTGCTGGACCCAGTGAGAGAAGAAGGCAATGTGTGCCAGCACTTTCCAGCTGCTTGGTTAGGCAGACACCCTCAGTGAGCAGGGAAACAAGGCCAGAAACCCAGTAGGTCAGGAAAAAGATGCAGCATTCCCTTTTCCCCTACACCAAAACGTATCTCCTCCTCGCCTCTCATTCTCCATTTAAATAAAAGAGCTTCACCTGATAAAAATTTATCAAAGACTGGACATGCACCACACAGAAAGGCCATGCTGCATTTTTGTTCCATCCCTCAGAAATGAACTGGTGGTGACTAGGGGAAAGAGCTCCACGACAAAATCCCAGAACAGGAAAGAGAACGATGCTTGGCGACTGCAGCTGCCCCGTCAGGTGACCAGCCACACACTGCTCTGGTGGTTAGAAGGGCAGAGCTGACTGGCAGGCTCTCCATAGCCAATCTCCCAAGCTGTAGCAGCAGGTTCTTTCCATCATGCCTGACCATCAAAAAGTCAGAACTCAGGCTCTCTCCTCTTCCTTCCTGGGAGTGGGCAGACTTGTATGCACGTGGTATTTGTGTTGAAGAAGAAACACTGGCAGCAGAGAATTCTGGTTCCTAAAACATTCTTCCCTCTTTTGTTGGATGGGAAATTCCATTCTGTTCCACACCAGCTTATGCATTGAAAATTCTGTATCTTTAAAAAAAGATTTGAGGAACAGAACTGTGTTTTGATGTTAACAAATTGTACGAACACAAGACTTAAGAAATAAGAGTAGATGTTGCCATGATGGTGTGGCTACTTGAAGGCTGCAAATTCTCCTGTAGAGGGAGAACAAGAGCTAATTTTAAAAAAGTTATCTCAAATAACCTAGAGACCTAGAAAAGCCTCACTGAAACCTCACTGAAAGGTGACTCACTATTATTACAAATCTAGCGACATCATCACAAATTTAAAAGCAAAAATGGCTGAAACACATAAAATAATTTATAATATGTAGAATATGCTTCAGTTCTATCAATTAAATATCGAGTCTGCAGGTAATTTCCCAGTTGGGTTTTACATGCTATGCTGAAAACCATTCCAATGAACAAAATTTCTCAAAAACAGATTGTAAAATAGGTTGATTTGTTGAATACTTTACCCCCAGTTATCAACTCATTTCCATTATTATAATACCACTATTAGAAAGGAAGAAGAGGAATTATATCCCCCATTTGCAAAAGATAAAATTAGGAGGTCAAATGATTTGTCCACATTACGCATTTGACTGAAGGAAAGAAAATCTAGACTATTTTCTAGTTCATTTCCCCTTTCAAACCACCAAACAATTACATGGGGGCACGTGTCGCTGAACTTTCCTGAATTTGAGGGCTTCGTGCCATTGTTTCACCCAGCATTTTGTCCACAGCTTCTACTTGTGACTAGAGGCCGGTTCTTCTTACATACATTCTAGCTGATTTCTGGGGGTTGGTTAGTAACCGACAACTATCAGAATGTAGCTGGCCTTAACATCCGTTTTCCGTAATAAGAGCCTGTGATGCGGGTCCAAGCAGTCACTGACATGAACACACTCTTTCATCTAGGAGTGACCTGTCCACTCTCTGACTGCCAGTAGAGTCCAGCTGACTACCAGAGGACACTGGTATGTACCAACAAACAACAGATTGCTAAGGACTAGCTGACTGAACCCCCAGATCGCAGGCTGATAATTATTAGTGACTATCTGAGTACCTGTTATAGGCCAGGTGCCTCACTGAATGCTTGACGTACATTTGCATCTAAGCCTCATAATAACTATAAGGCAGGTGCTATTACTTCTCTTAATTTATGGAGGAGCAAGCTGGGGGTTTAGAATGGTGAAGTAATTTGTCTGATATCTCACAGCTAGAAAATGGCACCGTTAAAATACAAGTTCAGGGGTGGTTTGTCTTAACAATGAACACACCCCTAAATAATTTTCAATAATTACCAGTTTGTTTTCCCATTCTGAATATTATTACTAATTGGACTGCAGATAGTGATACCATCTCTTTCTAAGGATTCCTTCTACCAAGCAAGTAATCATGGTATTGTGAGTCAAAAGATCAAGGAAGGGTAAAAGAATTATTACCTCATATTTAAAGTTAAAAAGTCTGTGAAGGGAGTATGGCATTGATGAAAAAAAATAGCCACATTACTAAGACCTCGGAGAGCCAAACATGAAGAACATAACCACAGAGGGCTATTATGTTAATAGCCTCTAGAAATCTATAAACATTTACACTACCTTTGCTTATGGTTTGAGTACATTATGGTTTGAAGGTTGCTATTTTTTCCAGTATTTTAATACATTTCTTTAAAGCAATTTTCAACATTCTAATTAGTAGTCACTGTATCTTGCAGAATCTAAATCTCATTAAAGGAAGTCAGTGTGAAAATAGGATTTACTTATAAATCTTTATTTTAAAAAATGGCTAGACTTTAATCTATTAAGTGAGAATATCAAAAGTGATAAAACTCTGTCAAATCTTATATACCACATTAAAAAACAACTTCAAAAAATCTTCAGATGGGGACGCCTGGGTGGCTCAGTCGGTTAAGCGTCTGCCTTCAGCTCAGGTCATGATCCCAGGGTCCTGGGATCAAGTCCCGCATCGGGCTCCCTGCTCCGCGGGGAGCCTGCTTCTCCCTCTGCCTCTGCCTCTCTCTCTCTCTCTCTCTCTCATGAATAAATAAATAAAATCTTTAAAAAAAAAAAATCTTCAGATGTTTCCCATTAGTTATAATTAGACACTCCACTTTGTTGTAGTGTTCTACTCTACAAACTTAAATGTTAGCCTTAAAAAACAAACAAAACCCCACAAAACAACCTCCCAAAGTACAAACTCTTACCAAGAAACTCCAAATCAGACACCAATAAAGCCAACCCTGAAGATCATCCTACCATTGTCTACTCTTTCTAATGGAATGCAGTTCTTATTCCATAAACAGACTTCAGGTCCAGGAATAAAAAAAGACAAAAAGAATTCAAGAGTTTACAGATCAATAAAATTAAACTCTTTCTATATATGTCCCTGAAATCATGGAGAAATTCAAGGAAAGATGGGGGTAATAGGCAATGGATCTGCTTTTGGGGAAAAAAGCATATTCCTTCTTGTATATCTGGAAATTATCTATTATCCCACCTCCTATCCTATTTTATTTGAGGTAAGAATTATTTGAAGTGAAATATCCAGAATACTATGTGACTTTGAAAATCTCAGTATATTAACTTAATTATTGCCTGAAAAATCAGAGGCCAAAAATGAAGCTTTTTTTTTTTCCAGGTTGAGAATAATCTAAGTTCTATTTTCCATTTGACTTTATTTAAGATTAAGGTAGAGAACATTTGGGAAGGCCCTGTGATTTTAGATACCTCAAATATCAAGATTTGTTTATTTGAAAGCTAAGGATTTTATTAACTAGTTTTAAGATACTACCTAATTATTATCTTTTATTCCCGAATTGAATGTATATCAGTGGCTGTTACACATATAACAATCTTCTTAAAGATAAAATATGCTATGAAAAATTGATATGCACAGAAATCAATCACTGTTTTAGATGTGGGGGGGCAGTCACCTGAAACCAGAGTAAGTCTCATTCTTTCTTTGTGGTGACCTTTCAGGAAGTTTGAAAAGTATGATAAACATTCCGGCACAGACACACTGGACTTCTTAAATTCTTAAGAGAAATTATCACAGGAGAGATGAAAAATTGAGTAAAATAAAAAGTGCTCTAGAAATGCTTAATAATTCTCAATCTAATAAGACTGTAACTGACAAAATGTTTTAGTCATGGAGTACCCATTTCATAATATTAAAAAGAAAAAAAGCAGCTCATTTCCTTAAATTGAAGGACTCACTTGAGACAGAGGCCGTTTACACTGGTGTGTTAAACAGTCACTATTTAAAGAGGAAAATTTAACTAATGCTTTAGTATGTCAATGGCTAGGACAATATTTAATATCTGAAAATAACCTAAAGCATTTGATTAAATGCTGTGATCCCTAAACTACTTAAAATCAAGAAGAAAAATCGTAGTCCTCATCACTGACCAGTAAAACTTCTAAAATGTAAAACAAATTTTACAAAAAGGGTGCCTGCTGAAAAAGGAGATCAACTTTAATAAAAATATCTGGGGGTTGACGTTTTAGGAGTAAAAGCAGTCAGTCACAAGAGAATGAACGTCCTTCTGTTTCAATTACCTAGTTAGAGAGGTTAACTCTACGTATGGTTAGAAAAATGATGTTTTTCTTTATTTGGAGAATATATCTAAAATGAAGTACAAAACCAACCACAGAAAGGGAGACTACACTACCATATGTCATTCTACTGCTCCCTACTTGTCTGCATCCGTGCCACCTAAACACCTCGCCCTACCAGACTGTTCCTGTTCTTCCACCAACACTTCCAGTGGGCTCAGTTTGGCAAGAAAACTACTAGGTGACCCTTTGGAGGTACAAGGGAACATGTGAGAGGGCATAAAGGAGTTTCTGAGCAGTTCTCAGTGCTCAGCAATGCCCTCTGGCAAAAGAGATTGAAAGGAGTCAAATGCAGATAGATGGAGGCTGGGAAGTGGTCAGTGTGGGGAGTTGTTGGGGGGTGTGAAAAGAGGAGTGAGCAAAGAAAGGACAATATGAGTGAAACAAGTATGCTGGGGAACTATAGAAAGAGCTATATCAATAAAAAGATCCTTTGACTCTTGTGCCTAAAAATGCCCCAAACCTTTCGGCATTCCACAGACCAATGCAAAAACTTTGTTAGCTACATGTTTGCTGTTCAGTTTGTGATAAACAAGACCCTATTCAGTAATTACTAATAATCATATCTTTAATATCACTAGAGGATTTAGAAATCCTACACTTTAATGTTTTCCAACATGTTCCATTCTTTTATGCCTTTCTCATTCTTATTTTTGAAAACAGGAGAGAGGTATCTTTTCCATTACTCTTGCCTAATTGAAAGGCATGAATCAATTTTGAACAACATGAATGGTATTACTTATTTCAAACTACCCAGATGAGGGGGGCAAAAGGTATGCAATGCTTCCTACTGAGAAGTTTTCCTGGATGAAATCTCATCCGTCCAAATTAATAAAGTATTTTAAAAATTTACTTGTGGCACTTAAAAACTAAATCATCATTAAAGTCTTCCCAATTTTCTTCTTTATTGGCTTCAAAGTATGGTATTTACACAGATGTTGTCTGTGTGCCTGAATAACCCCAAACTGTCAGTTATATTTAAAAATCATCACAGTTCCAAACTGAACAAATGAAAATGTATTTAAGAGGCTGGCTTTTGCTACTGACTCTGAAGTAGAGATGGTAATTTCTTTGATAAGATGACAGTGATACTGCTTCTTTCATTTTTGGTTCCGAGTAAGATTTTGGCTCACAGTAAGAATATACTGACTGCCACAGTACAGTCATTTTCTGCACAAGAAAATTTAAGTATTAGAAAGCACTAACAAATATTTCATACCGTGGACTACAAAAAAAAAAAAAAAGACTGGCCTTCACTCATAATAAGAACCTTGCTGGGCAAAGAATATAAGGAGCACAGAAATTTTATGACACATGCATAAAGTGATTGTTAAAACAGGCGTCATGAGAGGTAAGTATAATCTGAAGTAATAATTTTTAAGAAGTCCATTACCTGGTTGTTTGGCAACTAAAATATCTAAACAAACAAACCCCAAACTTCTCACAGAATTCTGTGAAGCTTTTTTAGGGGAGGAGGAAATAATGCATTTGTAAGGAAATTCAATTTCTACGTGTGGGGAAGTATTATTTAAAAGGAACTCCAATTTTTAATATTTGCCCAGTAAAAATCCAAAGTTCAACCATATTACTCATGTCAAACATGTCACTCCTCAGCAATATCTTTGGTTACCTGCACCCATAGTTAATAAAAAGAAATTCAGTCTATTGCTTTGAGGGAATAAAGGACATCCATATTTTCCAAATTGTAATAAAAAATAGTTACAGAAAAAAATATTAAGAAAAAAAATAACTTATCCAACTCTAGTGACTTCTTAAATTAGATCTGTTTGGATTAACTTGCCTAACACAGGCTAATCTACTGTCACCTTCCACCTGCAAATCCATGCGCAGGAGTGGTGCTGTTCGTGGGAATCTCTAATGGACATATGATAGCTAATAACAAAAGGTGCATGAGAAAAGTTTAACTGAAGTTTAATAATTAGAATAAGCCAGTAAACAAATCTGGAACAGGAAGTAAAGCCTCTGGAAGAGGCACTGCAAAGTTTAGCAATGTCTGTGCATTTTATAAAACGCTTGGATATTGAAAATCCAATGCTAAGTTTACACTTTAGATTGGGAAATAATTATATCTAGTCTTTAAAAACCTGCACATTCTTTGGTTCATCTTTTTAAAAAAAGACCTTATTCAATTGAGCAAATATATAAGCAAACTATATTTTCATTTCCTTGGTCCCTACTCCCCTGTACTGGCGCATTCATTTAACTTCTTTCAGTGGACAGGAAACGCACCATATCCCCCCGCCTGGATGGGTGTTTTTGGAGAAGCACAAGCATATAGACTAAAATCCTCTGTTTGGAAGCCAGCCCGATTCAAGGAGGGTTCTGATGCACTGCGGTGAATTTTTGGCAATGAGCGGGCCAGCAGCTCAATAGAGGCGAGAATCTAAAAAAAGAAGAAAAAAAAAAAGAAAAAAGAAAGTAGAATGAAAATCTAGGTGGTGTTAATCTTTAGAATCCCCATCATACTTTACAAGAAAGCACGTGAAATCTTACACTGTTTTTGATATTATCCTAAATGTCTGAAAAAAATACCGAATAAACTGATTATTTTTTCCTTACAAAGAAAAGAAAATGACCAAACTCCTATAGCTTTATTTTTATTTACTTATTTATTTTTTACTCCTATAGTTTTAATTTCTGTGAAATGAATGGGGAAAGTAACCTACAGTTAGCTTTTATTTACATTTGAGATCATTTGCCAGCCTTGGAACAGTAAATAATAAAAAAATTTAAACCAATCATATGCCTATTTCTCACAGACCACAGTCCCTTTTGCGAAGAAGATGGAGTGTCAATCAGTAAAGCACTAGATGACTTCACAAACAGAATCATCAGAGCAACTCATTCCTTAAGAAACTTAGTAATGGGAAATGCCTTCCACATACATAATTAAAAGTAGGACCCCAATGACCCAGGCTGCTAGTAGCACAGGAGTGAGAAGTGACAGGTGACAATCCAAGAGTGGAGAAGACAGGCAAACTACAGATAGACACCAATACACAGAACGTAGAAACTCCGCATAGTTTAAGGTACAGAGAAACGGGTTATGACTCTTGAAGGCAGACAGTATGATAATGGATATTCATAATCATGAGACATACGTGGAAAAGGCTTGGCACGATGCCTGGCATATAGTAAGTACTCAATAAAACTTCAGCAGCCATTACTATTATTATTTTTCTGAGCTACCAAAACTTTTTTAAAAGTTAAACTGTAATCTGTATGATTAGTATAAGGCAAAGAAGCAATGTTACAAAACATTTTAAATTACAAGCATAACACACAAATAAAAATTCAAATAATACAGAAAAAGTATAAGTCCTACCTTCCAGGGGTAACCACTGTTAAAGAGTCTATACTTTCTTCTGGACCTTTCCTATGCATAAACATGCACATATGAAAACAGAGCCCATCCCCACCCTCATCACCATTTAAAGTGGTATCATACTACACATATTTTTCTGCATTGCTTTTCTTTCCCCTCACTAACATCCATGCTATCTAGACAGCTACCCTGATCGTTATGTCTTTAATTTTTTCTATTATGGTAAGCATTTTTGTATATATCTGAGCACTTGTGGAAGCAGATTCTGCAGCATACATTTTTAGGAGTGGAATTACCAGAGCAAAAAGTATATATATTTTAAGTTTATGAATTCTACCAAGTCCTTTCAAAAGGCCAAACCAATTTACATTCCCAACAACACTGTTAAAAAATTTATAAGGAGGGCTCTTCCTTACTTCCCAACACTGTTCCCAATGCTAGATATTGCCAATCTGAGAAAATCAAAAAGTATTTCACTGTTACTCTGCATTTTACTGACTATCACAGAACTTTTAACATCCTAAATTCATTCACCATTTGTATTTCTTTGTGAATCACCAGCTCCATATCCTTTGCTCATTTTCTATTGATTTTTTTTTTTACTTATTGGTTTGTAGGAGGCCTTTGGATAATACCAATATTTATACTTTGTTATACATGCTACAATTATTTTACCTTACAATATTACTTTTATTACATAGAAGTTTAAAGACTTCTAATGTAGTCAGACTTGCTATCTTTTCCTTTATTACTTCTGGATTTTGCCTCTTGCTTATTAGGGAAGTCTTTCCTGATACCTCAAGGTTACAAAAAATGACTTCCTATTTTTTAGTTTTGTTTTTTACATATAAATCTGAAATTTGTGTTTGCATATAGTGTGAAAAGAGATCTTATAATGAAAAATTAAAAATAATACTTAAAAGGGGTAGCCTTCAATAATCGGAAAAATTCAGATATGCATTTCATTTTCTGATACCATGCAAAGAATAAAATGTTACTTATATTTAGAAATATGAACAATTTTCCCCTTTAAAGCACTTAAAAAGTGGGCCTACAGGGGCACCTGGATGGCTCAGTTGTAGAGCATGCAACTCTTATCTTGGGGTTGTAAGTCTGAGCCCCACGTTGTGTGTAGAGATTACTTAAAAAAGTACAATCTTAAAAAAAAAAGTGGGTCTAGGAATATAATTTCCATTATTAATGTACATCAAGCATGTTAAACAGGAAACTCTAGTACCTGGACCATGAAAAGAGAATGTGGTGTAGGGTCCTGCTGATATTGGCCAACAACACTGGTCCTTTTACTTTGATAGTCTCAAGCCAGTGGTTTTCTGGGTTAAAAAAAATTACTCTTCCTCAGAGAAATAGTAACTTAGAATTCCAATATGTAAAACATGTATCTACCCACCCTGAGAGAGCCCTAGAGACTTGTTAAAATTCTAAATTCTATTTTTAATTCTTTAGATATGAACAAAAGATCCACTCATTCCTGTAACAGTGACTTCTAAGAGATCCAGCTAGGAGTGGGTATTCAAAAGCATAATAAGGTTCACAAAAGACCAACTCAGTAATTATGGTAGCTGAGTAATTATGGGAGTCAGCCCTTCCCACCTGAAAACTATACTGATTTATCAAGATCCATTTATATAGGGCTATCCGGAACTTCCTGAGCATCATAAAAAACTGAATTTATATTACAATATCTACAGAATCTAAACTTTCTAGGCTTGTTCAGGTACTTAGTTCAGTTCCTGAGGCTTACAAAAGATTAACTTAAAGGCTTCAGCCTTATACTATGAAAAGATAAAAAGCAATGGTAATTTTCCAAGAATCAGAGAAAGGCAGATAGTGCCAACAGGTGCCTTTTCTTTTTGCCCCAGGTGGAAATGCTCCTCCAAAAGACCCAGTATTAAAGGGAAGCTTGGAATTTGTTTTACCACCAGGAAGAATTAAGGCAGCAGTTCTCAAAATGTAGTCTGTGGAAAAACTATTTTCATAATAACACTAAGGTATTATCTGCCTTTTTTACTGTCATTATTTTACAAGTGTAAGTGGAGTTTTCAGAGGCTAAGTGATGTAAAATATTGCAACATAATGAACGCAGAGAATCCAGATATCTTCTTTTTGCAGAGATTTGCAAAAAAGATAAAACAATGCCATTCTTTTCACTAATTCTGTTGTCTGGGAAAATACAGTTCTTTTTCATATAAACGTTAACATGTAATGACTTTATTATGTTTAAATAAACTTTTTAAAACTTAGTTTTCATTTCTAAAATGGCAATTATTACTTACATAAACAAAAGCTCTTTGGGGGTCTTCAATAATTTTTGAGTGTGTAAAAGGGTTGTGAGACCAAAAAGTTTAAGAACTGCTAGACAAAAGCGAAGTCTTTCTGAATATTCTGTACTGGGATTCCGAGTTTTTAGATATCCCACCATTCAACCTTTATATAATCATCTTTATGTCATTACTTATCAGATGCCTGCACATAATCACATGGAATCCAAATCCACAAAATACAAACTGTGTCCTCTAGAAACTATTTAAAAATCTGCATCTGAGTATTAGTCTGTCCTCTTAAGTAACATATAAAGCTGCTTCTTACTTGGGGAAAGAGTGGCCTCTCATCTCTTTTCTTTTTTAGGCACTCTGCCATCAATCTCTTCATGGCTTTTGGACAGTTACTCCGTACCTTACTGAGATCTGGAGAAAGATATCCTCGTCCCACCATAAAAATTATCTGGGGAGAGAAAAAAATCATACAACCTTGTATGATAAGTTGAAAAATACATAAACATTGAAAATTCAACAAGCTGTGCATTTATGTGTACTTTTCTGCATGTACACTGTACTTCAATAAAGTTAAAAACACAATGCTAGTATTCTGATTCCTATACATCATATCGTGGGGAACCAACACTTAATTGGGCTGTAAGCTGAAATCTTCAGGACCTGTGGACTATTGTAAAGGTCTCCTAATTGCTCCCCAGGCTTCCAGTCTCTCCTTATGCAATCCATTTCCCACTGCCAGGGTAATCATGAGACACACATTGGATTGTGCCTCTTTTTCCACTTAAAAAAGGAATTTATTGAGTACTTGTTGGGCATCACACTAAGTCCTTTATATATATATATATATATGTAGCAGGAACCAAAAAAGTTCAACTTTTAGCAGTTGTTTTGGCATCTGCATTTTAAATTCATTTGTTGAGGGAATGGAAGAAATGGGGCATTTAGTTATGTAGGTCTGAGAATCAGAGCCTCCTCTAAAAAAAAAAAAAGGTAAACCACTTGGGAATTAAATTTTCTGTTTAATAAAGTAAAAAGGCTTGTCTTCCCTGGGTGCAGAGATGTATACTTTTTCTGATTTCTTAATTTTTAAATTTTTGGCTCTTTTTAGAATGGACAGAGACAGACTTTAGGAGTCTCGGGACTCTGTAAAGAGAAAGGGGTTTTGATCTTAAGAGGGAACAGGTCCAACATGCACAGACTAGAGGCTAGGTGGAGAGAGCCAGTAAGAGATCCCCTGTTATAGATAGGGCAGAGCTTACAAACTGTAGGGAGAGTCAAGTCTGATATCCTAACTTTCTATTATTTCCTGTTTGGTGCTGTAGTAACTTTTGTTGAACTATATAAGCTGATTTGCCCGAGCTCCACTGAAGTGGAGGTGTAAAGCTTATCCTCCTTTCCCATTGCCCCTGTCAGAACTGCCCTTCTCTTACTTTATAAAAAGCACACCCCTTACTACCCACATGAAATTTAACTATAGTACACATTGCTCCAAGGTGTAAAACTGCTGGGGTAACAATGGGACACTTCCAGATACCGGTATATAACTAGGCTCTAATGAATGGGTAGCAAATCCCTTCGCAAGACAGCTGGTTTCCAATTCTTTGCTTTCAGCAAAATTAACTGAATTGTCAGCTAATTGTAAAACTTACTGACAAGTTATTATGTCATTTTTGGTATATTCTAGAAATGAGTTCAAATAACTGAATGATATATGTATGGTAAAGAATCAATCTTGCCCAGAGAGAGGGCTGGCCTTTGCCTTTGGCTCATGGGAGGTAATCCCTAAACCTCTGACATGTCCTGCCTGATAAGAGTCCTTTTGTTTACCTGGGAGCCTTGGGCTATGACAGATAGTCCTTGCTATCAAAGTGATTTATAGAAGGGATGTTGAGTCAGGTAGCATCAGCTAAAACTAAGTAAGGTCAGCCACAGAGGTGGTCAACCATATTGACTTAACCCAAGCCCCGGTGATAACCCTGGATTCGAGTGAATTGGTTGGCAATACTCTACACACTGTCACACACGGCTGCCAGGAGAATTCAGTGCTGTCCACAGTTACACTGGGAGGAGACACCTGGGACCTCCACATGTGGAACTCTCCTGGATTCTGCCCTATGTGCCTCTTCACTCAGCTGTTGTGATAAATGGTAACTCTAAATACTAACAACCTGGAGGGAGTTCTGAGACTTACTGAATGGCTGAATCTGAGTATGGTCTGGGGGACCACTGACCTGTGCATCTGGGTACAACAAACGCCTGATTTTTCCCATCTTTGTATCTACTTGAACAATAGTTCTCAGTGCTTACTGCTTTAAAAATAAAAGAAGGAAAGGAACTGATGCTATCCTACCTCATTTTAGCAAAAGCCTATTTATCCATAAACATGAATGAACTGAAAAGAAAAGCCATATGTTGTTCATGAAGACACACATTTCCAATAAAATTTTACCTTCTATGTCTCTATATATCAACACTTACATTTTCATCAGTTATATATTAATAATTATTAACAACAGTATAATTCAGAATTTTAAAAATTAACATTCAAAGACTGAAGTCACAGGAAAGATTCTAAAGTAGAATCTTTTTTTCTGTTTAATAAAGTAAAAAGGCTTGTCTTCCTTGGGTGCAGAGATGTATACTTTTTCTGATTTCTTACTTTTTAAATTTTTGGCTCTTTTGAGAATAGACAGAGACAGACTTTAGGAGTCTTGGGACTCTGTAAAGAGAAAGGGGTTTTGATTTTAGAGGGAACAGGTCCAACATGCACAGACTAGAGGCTAGGTGGAGAGAGCCAGTAAGAGATCCCCTGTTACAGACAGGGCAGAGCTTATAAACTTTCTAAATTCTAAATTTAAATACATATTTTTTTTAAATTTTAAACTTTTTTAAATTCTAAATTTAAATACATATTTTTTGTTGCGGAGATGTAACTTCAGTGATCAGTAAAAGCCTCGAAAGCATAAAATATGTTAAAAATGTTTCTTCAAAAAGTTCCAAAAATTAATGAATCTATTTTTTAAACAAGTGATGGTAGGTATCAAGTCAGAATGGCTTTTAGATTTCACTGGATACACTGAAAAGAAGGCTATAATAGCTTTATTTTGAAATGTTAATATAATACAAAGGAAATCACATTCTTTGCAATTATTTAAACTTAAAGGGAAGATTTTTTTTTTTTTTTAAAGATTTTATTTATTTTTTAGAGAGCGAGCGACAGGGAAACAGCATGAGAGGGGAGAGGGTCAGAGGGAGAAGCAGGCTCCCTGCTGAGCCGGGAGCCCGATGTGGGACTCGATCCCAGGACCC